CCCTCTCCAAGTTCTCCACTACCTTAACCAGGTATTGAACTGACACTCTTTGGGTCCTGTCACTTGATCTAACCAACGCCTTTATCCACTGTGCCTTGAGGACATATGTGTATGAATTTCTGGGTATTATAAACCTAATGTCTTCAGCAACCATTTTTACCAGTGCTCATATTGCAATTTTTGCCAACCAATCATACAAATGAATACAATATGGAACCAATAATAAGCAGTTCCAGAGTAAAGCGATAATAACAACAAATTTGCAATATGAGCTCTGGTAAAAACACGTAATGATAACAGCAAAAATCGCAATATGAGCACTGGTAAAAACGGTTGCTGAACACATTAGGTTTATAATACCCAGAAATTCATACACATGGCACAGTGGATAAAGGTGTTAGATCCAGTGACAGGACCCAAAGAATGTGAGTTCCGTACCTGGTTAGGCGGTGGAGAACTTGGAGAGGGGAATTAACAGGAGATGACTGATAACTGACATCCATTAAACAGTGAGCGAAATAAAAGGTTCGGCTCAAAGGGTTCCAACCATCTGAAGAAGGCTGGAGCGTACAACGGCCGAAACGTTATAATAAATATGGCGACAAAGATGAAGACAATAGTGCCGTTATTACTTGCTTATCACTTTCAGGTTCAACGTGTGGTTTAATCTATCTATTGATACAGTATTAAAGCGAATAGTAGACAATTCAATAGGGTGAATAGCAGATTTAGTATGTCTATGAATTTTGCCTTTATGGCAAGTTATTCATTACACATTGTTTTTCCTATATGAGGCCCCAAAAATCTTGTTTTGATAAGTTTACGCGAGGTTTTAATTCTTGGGTGTGATATTACGTGAATACTATTGAATACTATAGATTTTTGTAAATCATCAGGTATATATGATCTGGAAACACTGGTAGCATTATCACAGTATATGAAACTATTATTATCAATGTTAAAATTGTATTTTTTAAAGTCTGGAAATTTTTATAACTCAGGGTCCTTAAATTGTGTAGCAGCTACAACTGACAAGTCACACATATCTAGCATAACTGCTAGGGTTGGTTTAGACAAGCAATCAGCTATAACCTTTTGATCTCCCTTTATATGGCCTATATCTGATATATATTCCTAGTTTGAGTTAACTTTTTAGAGAAGAAGCCTATTAGAATTGATGCTCCGTCTACTACTTGATGTAGGGTTGCACCAATTGCATAATTACTGCTGTCTGTAACCAACTGATATTTAGTAAAGTCAGACCGTTGGTGAGCTAAAGACAGACATTTCACTGATTCTTTTAAATATCGTTAAATGATTGCACTGCCAAGTCATTTAATGTAAATGTAGTATTACTGCATATACGTATTTTTTTCTTAATGGTATAACTATGTCTGCAAAGTTTGGGATTAATTTTCTATAAAAAAGATTTTTACTGTCCTTAGAGGAAGAAAAATTCTGTAATGCACTAACATTATTTTGCGTAGGTTTAATACCGTCAGAGCTAATATAACTTAGTTGTCACGAGCGTGAAATGATACTGTGTCTTGATACTGTAACTTCACAGAGCAAAAAGAGAAAGATTGACTTTCCCGCCTAACAATGTTTCGTATGTGTCTCATCAGATCATGTGACTGTTTTTTTTTTATCATCGTGAATATTTATAATTAAGTTTATTGTTATTTATGTTTGGGTCAAGGGGAGATAACCTTTTGTCTCACGCTACACCTTTTCATTTTTTATTTAGTCCATTTTCTTTTTTTTTTTGTTTTTGCTGTCATATATATATATATATATATATATATATATATACACACACACACATATATATATATATATATATATATAGTGTAACCTGATATAAGAGAAACCTGGATATAAGAGAGAGTTTTTCTGGTCCCAAATTAGAGCCCATACTTACCTAAACAAAATAGACCAAACCCGGATATAAGAGAAACCCGGATATAAGAGACTTCTTCTCCGGTCCCGACAACTCTCTTATATCCGGGTTACACTGTATATATATATATATATATATATATATATATATATATATATATATACGCCATAACCTAGGTTCCCTTTTTCTATAAATATTTTCATAGCTGATGAGCTTAACTCATTGGTATCTAGATTTAAGCGTACTATTAGTTTGGAGGCAAAGTCTCATTATTTTACCGTCGAAATGACTCGATAACCATTCTATACTAACACTTTCTTCTCATGCAAATCTCGCTTACGGAATTCTCTTCTGTTTTCTTGTTTCCAGTCAACTTTGATTTCTAAAAATTTAAATACAATGTTATCTTTTGTCTTCCTTAATTCTTTTTTTTTTCTCGCCTTAATAATGTTTTCGTTTTCTCATTTTTTCACACACTGTAACACTCCTTTGTGTCTTAGTGGCTTTATTACTTATTTGGGATGAAATGACTAAAAAAGTATCTTTTTGTCGTCTCCATTTTCTCTTTTGTCTTAACGTTTTAGTTTTTTTTTTTCTCTT